AAAAAAAAAAAAAAAAAAAAGAACAAGTTGTGAAGTGAAAAGTAGTACGTGAAAGAAGGGTGTTAGGGCAGACCTGTACACTCTTGAAAGCTTGTGAAACATGTGAATCACCTGCACTCGATCTTGAACCAGGTCCTACAGGGCATGCGTTTTTCAGCATTTCGGGCTTGATATGACAACATTTGGTAACCTGAGTAAGGGGCAAAAGCTACAAATGCCCAAACAGGGACTTGAACCCTGGACCCTCAGTTTAAAAGTCGGATTCTCTACTGACTGAACTGTCTGAATGCTGTAGGACGTGACTTAGTCTTATTCCCAAACTTCTTTTCTGTTTCCAGAAGTGGATTTGCTGACCAAGGAGCTAGAGGACTTTGAGATGAAGAAAGCTGCTGCTCGTGCTGTCACCGGTGTCCTTGCCTCTCACCCCAACAGTACTGATGCCCACATTATCAACCTCTCCCTCACCTTTCATGGTCAAGAGCTGCTCAGTGACACCAAACTGGAATTAAACTCAGGCCGTCGTTATGGCCTCATTGGCTTAAATGGAATTGGTGAGGCCCTTGAAGGCGAGGTGGGAGGTGTCTCTCCTTGGCTCGTCTGTCACTCAGCAAGTATTTACTTAGCACCAGCTATATGCAAAGCAAGGAGTTTACAGTATGGGTGGGAGACCACATATGTCCAGGGAAAAGGAACTAGCAGTACAGAGCAGTGTGTGGTAAGTAACACGTGAGCAGTTACAGACAGTAGGTGCTGGAGAAGTGGGCGGGAGGGGCAGGAATGGTGGTGTGCGAGGCCGCTGTAGGCGAACTGACTTCACGCAGGAGGGGTGGGACAAGAATTGGAGGAAGGTTGGAAAGGTAGCGTGGGGGGTGGGGGTGAGTGGTAGTAGGATTTGAACAAATGAAAGGAAGGAAGGGAGGAAGGAAGGTGCTCCACAAAATGGTGAGGTGGTGGTTTGGCTGGAGCGGAGGAGCTGATGCAGGGGAATGACAGGCAGAACTGTGCCAAGTGTCCTCTGCCCACTCTCTGCTTGCCCTTCTCAGGAAAGTCCATGCTGCTCTCTGCTATTGGGAAACGGGAAGTGCCCATCCCCGAGCACATTGACATCTACCATCTGACTCGGGAAATGCCCCCTAGTGACAAGACACCCTTGCAGTGTGTGATGGAAGTCGACACGGAGCGGGCCATGCTGGAGAGGGAGGCTGAGCGGCTGGCTCACGAGGATGGTAGGGCTCCTGACTTGGGCCGGGGGGCCGGGGGGTGGGCTTCCTCCCAGGAAAGGCCCGGGGAGCCTCACGAGCCATATGCCGCCCACAGCGGAGTGTGAGAAGCTCATGGAGCTCTACGAGCGACTGGAGGAGCTGGATGCCGACAAGGCGGAGATGAGGGCTTCGCGGATCTTGCATGGACTGGGTTTCACGCCTGCCATGCAGCGCAAGAAGCTGAAAGACTTCAGTGGGGGCTGGAGAATGAGGGTTGCCCTCGCCAGGTGAGTTCCTTTCTCCTTCTCTACCCTCTGTAGTTCCCCATTTCCTTCAGGGTTGGATGCTCACTCCAGTGGAACTGTGTAGAACAGAGGTCAGGGGTCAGTAAGTGCCAGACGAGACACGACATCAACAGTGTGAAGGAGGGGTGGTATGCGTGGGCTAAGGCGCGAGCCTCCTGGCTGAAGTGACCATTGTTGGATCTCTGGCACAGTGTTTAGGAATCCTAGGATCAGCCTTGGGTAAAATGGTAGACTGGGTCTATTTCTTCTTTCTTCCTGACTCCCATCCTATCCTCTTTTGTATTTCAGTCCTTCTAATTGTTGCTGCATAAAGATAAAATATTAGACAGCTGTTAAGCGATCTTTCCTTATCCCCCTGTGAGCTGGACCCAAAGTGAGTTTGTGTAGACCATCATTCCCCCAGCAGTCCCCCCCAGAAAGTCCCCAGTTAAATAGGTGGTTCCCTCACTCCACTGTTCTCTACCAAGTGAATTGGTGACACTTGATGCTTTAGCAAAGCTGCCTGCGTGTGCTTTGGAGCCGAGAGCAGTGGTTCCACGTGCAAGGATTAGCCACCTCCGTTCATCTAGGGAGCTGCAGAGGTACAGATTTCCTAGCCTCTTCTTCATATCTCTGTGGTTGGAATACTGGAATTTGGTGCCCAGAAATTTTATTTCTAAAAAGCTCTGCAGTGCGGTGACTGCACATGTGGGAACCAGTGCTGTCCCCTTGCGTCTCCTGTCTTGAGATTCCATCTAAGAAAAGAACATTTTTTGCCCTCCTTGCTAAAGGCTGGCAACCCCATCGATTTAACTTGAATGCTATTTTGCTTTAGCAGTTTATCTCCTCTATCCTTTTGTCTTCCTGACGGTCACCAACTTCAGCGTGAAAGACCTGCAGACTCGTAAGGACTTTTACAACCTTATCTTCAAACTGCACCATCCCTCTGCTTCTCAGCCCTGTTTTCTGCCCTTTCATCTCAGCTCTTCAACTCTCGTTTCTCTCCTCATTCTCCCCTTTCCTCTCAGGTGTAGAACCTAGAATTGGTTTCAGGACTCAAGCCAGGCCTGACCAGGGTTGCAGGTAGCAGGCAAGTCCCCTCCTGTGTAGCGCCCATTAGACTGAAGGGGCTCTGTCTCCTCTCCTGTCCTTCAGAGCCCTCTTCATTCGGCCCTTCATGCTGCTGCTGGACGAGCCCACCAACCACCTGGACCTCGATGCTTGTGTGTGGTTGGAAGAAGAATTAAAGACGTAAGGGGGTAGGGATGGGGTTGGGAACGGGCAGGTCCTGAAGGGGGAGTTGAGCAATCTAAAGGAAATGGGTGCCCGGAAACCACAGTGATGCTAGAGCAATGAGAAAATGAACTGACACGAGGTCGGGTGAAGGCCAGATTGAAAAAGTAGTAAGCACCTTTAGGGGAGACCATTTGGTTTGATTCTTTTTTTTAGCCTGAAATGTGTGAAGTTTTTTAAGTTTCTGGTTCTTCCATTTAAAATACAACACCTTGGGGCGCCTGGGTGGCGCAGTCGGTTAAGCGTCCGACTTCAACCAGGTCACGATCTCGCGGTCCATGAGTTCGAGCCCCGCGTCAGGCTTTGGGCTGATGGCTCAGAGCCTGGAGCCTGTTTCCGATTCTGTGTGTCTCCCTCTCTCTCTGACCCTCCCCCGTTCATGCTCTGTCTCTCTCTGTTCCCAAAAAAATAAATAAACGTTGAAAAAAAAAAAAAATTTTATAAAATACAACACCTTTATTAAAGACCGTATTTTTCTTTTAACTATATATATGCGTCATATAAAGAAAGGATTCCCACTTAAGATCATGATGCAGTAGCAAAGGAAACCTAGCTGATGTGGCAATGGTCCTTGTATGGCTGCAGCGCTGAATAACCCAGAATACTGTACCGACTCTGAGGGAAGGCTTTTAGCGGTCTCTGTGGTGACTGGTACCTTCTTTCAAAAAGAGGACTACAGTGATTTTTATTGCGCCTGTTCCAGTTCTTCCCACCCACAGTATTACACACATTTATGGATATGTTTGTGTACATATGCTTGTTTTTACCATCATTGTTAAGCTACCATCTCCATTCTGCTGAAAATTAGAACGGAAGATGGAGAAAACTCAGACTGAAAGGGGTCAAGGTGTCGTTCCAGGTAGATGGTGCACTGGCGGCCTAGGTGGTTGCTGAGAGCCGGGAGTTGGCTGTTAAATCTAACGGGGGCTCAGGATGGGAAAAGATGAAGGTTTTCTGGGCCTCTCAGCTCCCCTGCTGTGGACCGTCACAGTTTGGAGCACCTCCCTGACTGGTTGTCTGGCTTTGCAGTTTTAAGCGCATCCTGGTCCTCGTCTCCCATTCCCAGGACTTTCTGAATGGTGTCTGCACCAACATCATTCACATGCACAACAAGAAACTGAAGTATTACACGGTGAGTAGGCCCCAGCGTCTGCACAGCAACCTCAGCGCTTACCAGTTCCTTGAAGGTCTCCTTTAAAAAAAACAAAACAGACTTAGCAGCCCTTTTCTACCTATTGCTATAAAAAGATGTGGACAAGGAGTCCTGCCGCTTGTTCTATTTTAGTCTCAAAGTAGTTGCTCTCAGGTTGTAGGCCATTGATTGGCAGCCTGTGTATGTGATGTGTGTGCCTTATGGTAAAGAGGTTGACTTTGCATGGTGCCCAGGCAGGCCCTGCCAATCCCTGCCTTCTTGAATGACTGCTTAACTCTGCTTTGTGACAGCCCATTTACCTCTCTTTCCGTGAAGACTGGGAGTCCGGATCTCAACAGCCCACTTGTCTGCCTTGCCTTTTCATTATCCGTATTTAAAAAAAAGAAAAAATAGGAGTCCTTTTCATTCGTAGTTATACTCACTGTGGGAGTATTAATAATTTCTCATATAGTCTTCCAGAGATTTTATGTGTACTTGCACGGATTTGTAGAAAATTTTGTGTATACACATCACAGCTGTAATGTTAATAATCACTCTCTTCTGTAGGTTGCTTTTACATTTTAATATATCTTGCGCCGCTTTTCATATGAATAGTTATAGATCCACCTTATGCTTTTCAGTAATTGCATAATATTTCATTGTGTAGCCATCCACTCCTTTATTTGTCAGACCCTTTCTGATGAATATTTAGGTTGAGTCCAGTTCTTTGCAGATAGAAACCATGGCAGTCCAATCGTGCAGCATTTGCTAGGTCCTAAATCTGATTGGTCTGCTGTCTTCCTTCCTGGGCGCAGTTTCTGTAGCCTGCGTGGGCTTGAGCCTCTAAGGGTGGGAAGTAGTAGGAGGTCCTCTTGGAAGGCTGTGAGCCTCGTGATGTCCGTATGACGGTTGTGATCAGGGCTACTGCTGGTGCTGTGGGTGTCTTTACGGCTAACCGGAGGATTTGATCTGGAGCCCTGCTCCGGCTAAGCTAAGAGTGAGAGGCACACAAATGGAAAGACTTCAGATTCTAGGTTAGGGTTTACTTTGCCAACGTCCTTCCTCTTTCCCTACTGCACAGTCTTCTAGCCAGGGCCAAGTCCGATGCCATCTCGCATCCCCCTAAACTCTGAGAACCCGGGACCGAGGCTAAAACTGCCTGCCTTACCTGGCATACTTCTCTTCAGGGTAATTATGATCAGTATGTGAAGACACGGCTGGAGTTGGAAGAGAACCAGATGAAGAGGTTTCACTGGGAGCAAGATCAGATCGCACACATGAAGGTAGGGCAGTTGTAGATGAGTTCACGTTCTCATGGAGAGTTGGGGGAAGGTACGTGGGGAGTTCGGGGTGCCGGGTGTCAGGAAGACGTTGTTGTCGGCATCTACCCCGCATTTAAGGAGAGTTGCTTGATACCTGCCCCTGCTCCAAGCCCCCTTTCTGGTCTCTTTCAGAACTACATCGCTAGGTTTGGTCATGGCAGCGCCAAGCTGGCCCGGCAAGCCCAGAGCAAGGAGAAAACGCTACAGAAAATGATGGCATCAGGACTGACAGAAAGGGTCGTGAGTGACAAGGTGGGGTCCGAGCGAGTGGAGTTAGTGCCCGAGGTGAGGCGGAGGAGACATGATCTAACCGGAAAATGTCCTCTCCTTCTCCTAGACCCTGTCATTTTATTTCCCACCGTGTGGCAAGATTCCTCCGCCTGTCATCATGGTGCAGAACGTGAGCTTCAAGTATACAAAAGACGGGGTGAGTCCTCCTGTGTGGTTGGGAGGCTGGGACAAATTTTACAAGATAAGCATCAACAGGTTGGGAGAGTCTCCGGTTCTTTGCTCAACACACCTGCTAACCTGTGTGGTGCACGGGATTTTTCAGGCATAGCAGCTTAGGTGCCTCATCCAGGGACTTGAGTGGCCCCTCTTCAAGTACTTGGAAAACTGCTCAGCTGAGATGGCGGGTGGAGGCAGTGGGTTGGGGTCTGCTCTGAGAGCTTTCTCCCTCCTCCATACTCCCGCCTACTCCGGTGGCGATGGGGGACATGACAGGGCTAATCTGCCAGCCAGATTGATTGATTGGTAACCTAACCTCATATTTATTCATCTCTCTCACTCATCCACTCAGCCCTGCATCTACAATAATCTAGAATTTGGTATCGATCTCGATACACGAGTGGCTCTGGTGGGGCCCAATGGAGCAGGGAAATCAACTCTTCTGAAGCTGCTAACCGGAGAGGTATGGTGCCAGGCTGGGGCATGGGACTTCCAAGAGTAGGTGCTTACTGTGTCTGAGGAGGGAAGGTGTGAGGGGCTTTTCGGAGGCCCTCAAGGCGCCTGAGTGCCCTGGTGGTGAGTGAGTCAGCTTCCGGGGTGGGGGATGTTGTCATTGGCAGTGCTGAGATTTGGAGCTGTTTTCTCAAAGAGAGGGAGGGAGGGGAGTGTGTTTGTGTGTGTGTGTGTGTGTGTGTGTGTGTGTGTGTGTGTGTGTGTGTGTGTGAGAGAGAGAGAGAGAGAGAGAGAGAATACATGCATGTGCCTCAACATTTTTCTGTTTTCAGCTAGAGCATCTCGAGGGAATCTGTGCATCGAGAGCTGTGTTTTTGTTTTAGAAAACCCATGTTGTACATATATATGAGTCCTTTGTTTTACTGGTGGTACCTTCTGTAGTAGACCTTTAACTACTAAGTAGACCGTGTTGTATGTATCTTTGCCTCTCTTGAGAACATCTGTTTCAGTATATCTTCCTAAATATTTTTAGAATGGCCAGAATAGCAGTCTATGAGGTAGTGATGTAGATTCTATTTGGAAGTTCTGAGTCTTGTTCAGTGAACATATGTTTATTTCCCTACTCTGTCTGTGTCTGCTTCTCACCGAGTTTCTCTTTCTGTGTGCTTATCTTTCCACCTAATACTCTCTTCTTTCTAGCTACTACCCACAGACGGGATGATCCGAAAACACTCTCATGTCAAGATAGGGCGTTACCATCAGGTACAGGCCTTGGGGTCCGGGGAGATGCCCAGGGTGTGGAAAGGGGGCTGCATGTGACCAAGTCAGCTTTTGCCTGCTTCTCCTGGAATCTTGAACAGGTGCCTGGGTAGAGGTGGAGAGTTACTCAGCAGTTAACCCAGCGAGGTTCCTTTTGAAGTGGGACACCAGTCACATCTGAATGGATTCCTTTTTTCCTGTAGCATTTACAAGAGCAGCTGGACTTAGACCTCTCACCTTTGGAGTACATGATGAAGTGCTACCCAGAGATCAAGGAGAAGGAAGAAATGAGGAAGATCATCGGACGATATGGTCTCACTGGGAAGCAGCAGGTCAGCAGAGGGGAATGTGGGGGAACAGCGCCAGATAACTGGGAGATTGTGGCTACACGGCCAGGGTGCACTGCCCTGGCGACCCAAGTTCGGGAGCTGTCCCAAAAGTCTCTTTCTTTTTCTTTTTCTTTTTTTTTTTTTTTTTTTTTTAAGTAGGCTCCATGCCCAATGTGGAGCTTGAACTCACAACCCTGAGATTGAGATTCCAGTGTTCTACTGAAAAGTCTCTTCCTTTGATTCTAGCGTCTGAAAGAACCTGCTAGCTTTCCTTTGGCCTAGGTGTATGTATTGGAGTATTCAGGTCTCATTATGAGGAAGGGGCAGGGATAGCATCCCAGTCTCTGACATGCCTTCGCCCCAGACTAGCAAGATAAACCAGAATGCTTGAGGGGGAGGGAAATTGAAACCTAGAAAACGAGTTCCTGGACTCAGATCTCGATTGAGGTCCACCACACTGTTCCACTTAGTTATGATTTAAGTGCCAAGGGAGAGCGAGAGGTGTGGCCTGAGTAGCAAGTGCTTCCGGCTTCCACATTTATCCCTTACGGGCCTTGAGAGACTGGTACCATCTCACTGTGATCTTGGGTCTTCCTTTTTGTAGAATTGTGGCAGTAGTAATGGAGAAGCAGCGGGGGGAAAGTGAGTCATGCTCTGTGGTGGGAGTAACACCAGGTTCCGTAAATGTCGCGGTTCCACGCAGGTGAGCCCAATCCGGAACCTGTCTGATGGGCAGAAGTGCCGAGTGTGTCTGGCCTGGCTGGCCTGGCAGAACCCCCACATGCTCTTCCTGGATGAGCCCACTAATCACCTGGACATTGAGACCATCGACGCCCTGGCCGATGCCATCAACGAGTTTGAGGGTGGTATGATGCTGGTCAGCCATGATTTCAGACTCATTCAGCAGGTGAGGCCCCTGGCTGGAGTGGAAATCAGAGAGGAGGGCGGCCAGGAGATGGTTGGATAGGACACAGTCATGGCATGTGGAGGGCACTTAATATGTGTTTATTGGATTTGGGAAAAGGGCTCAGGGTGTAGACAGGGTGATGAGGACCAGATTTTATGGCTCTTTGAAAAACAGAAAGCCTTAATGGAAAACTTTCATTTTTTCAGTAGCTATTTGGAGACATCAGCCTACTTGGCATTTGGCAGTGTTAGCCAGAATTGGCGAGGGAGTTGGGTAGAGGATAGGGTGCTTTTACTACCGTCTCAAGATTCTTCAGCCTAGAAGTAGTATTATACTAAGGAGGATTTGGACTAGAGGGCTACCACCAGTCATTGGTGGAAAGGCCGCTGGTCATTTCTCTGAAGCTTTGGGAAAGATGGGATAGAGAACAAGAAGCTGCGGGCGAGGCCTCTAAACAGTTCTAGGCCCTGCCGGGGAGCTGGAAATCAGGAGACAGAGCAGGTTGTGGCTTGGAAGGCTCCAAACCTGCTGGTTACGGTACCCCTGGGTTAGGCATCCCAGAGAACAGAGAGACAGTGGAACTGTGAGCCGCATACGGGACTGGGCGGTGGAGGTTTCTTCCTGGAGTTCCCCTGACAGTGGTCTTCTGGGCAGGGATGGGGAGAGTGCTGGCCAGGAGGATTGAGCCTCAGATTTCCTTTCTAGGTTGCACAGGAAATCTGGGTCTGTGAGAAGCAGACAATCACCAAGTGGCCTGGAGACATCCTGGCCTACAAGGAGCACCTCAAGTCCAAGCTGGTGGGCGAGGAGCCCCAGCTCACCAGGAGGACCCACAATGTGTGAGCCCCTGCCCGGGCTGGGCTGGGCCTCTGGGGCCACACTCCTGCATTGCTGCAATACCGCTCCCCAGCCCCTCCCCTGTCCCCACCTGCCTTAGCTGCACTCTGTGATCTTATCTACAGCTGGACAGTACCTGTCCGTTTCCTGTCCTTGCAGTTACTTTTGTCCATGTCTGGACTCGGCTGGCTGTTCTGCCAGCTCCTTGCTGGTTACTGACCTGATGGTGATGCAGCCAGAGGCACCTGAGGGTTAGCCCAAGGGCCCACATCCTGGGTTGGCCTGTGAAAGAGCTTAGGGTCCTCGTTTTCTGGGTTTTGGTGATGTTGGAGGAATACCCCCCAGCCCACCGCCCCCATTCCTTTCCGCTTCTGGTTTGGAGCTGTGGACCAGGGCTTTAGTCCTGGTCGGTTTTTAAATAATTATTTAACAATGTAACTTTTAGACCTGCGTGACATCTACCAAGTGTCCAATAAAGAAAGAAGAAGCCATGGTCCCTACCTTCCTTTTCTGGTCTCTGGGCCCTTCGCTTCCCTCTTCCCCTCAGCCCCAATACTCACATCCCCTCAGCAGGAGCTTGGGTGGAAATTGGCGGAATGGACGCAAGCAGGGCTGGAGTAACTCTCTCCTTCCTTTGATCGAAATTCTGCCTTTTCTTAGGCCATTGCCTCACAACACACACATCAGAACCACCTAGAAGACTCATTTGGTATCACAGGTCACCGGGTCTTGCCTCAGGGTTTCTGATTCAGTAGGTCCGGGGTGAGACCAGGAAGTAAAACATTTCCAACATGTTTCCAGGAGCTGCTGATGCTGCTTGTCTGGGGGCCGAACTTTGAGAACCACTCTCCTGGAACGTGTTTTTCAGGGTGGTCGGAGGCTCCCCTGCTGCAGCCTCTACCACAGCACTTGGGGCGGTGGGGGTGGGGGTGCTTGTTAAACTGCAGATCCCCGGGCGCTGCCCTACTGATGCCATCCGGTGGGTGAGAGAGATGAAACGGGAGTCTGCATCTCACACGGGTTTGTGAGCCACCGTTCCTGGGTGGGATGAGGAAGTTTTGTTATTTTGCCTGTTCTCAGCCTTAATTTTTGTTAGCATGATCTAATTTACTTCCAACCCAGAGCTCTGCGTGGTCTGTCTGAACTTGACAAGCATCCGCAGCCCTTGTTCACCAGGGACACCAGTGCCCCTTCTTACTGGTGTGGCTTCATCACCTCTGAGGCCTCAGCGGCCGGCCCTGCGGGGAAACATACACAGCCGTGACTTTTCAGTGCTCATTACAGTACATCTGAGACTGTCAAACACCCAAAACAAAGTCCCAGGTGGTGTCCAGACCCCCAAGGAGCTCACGATCTAATGGGAAGCCAACGATGACTAGTGAACGAGACCGGGCATAGATCAGAGGCTCAACTGTGACTTGTTGGGAAACACAGAAGGGTTCGGAAGGGAGGGAAGTTCTTGTGAGTCCGGAAAGGCAGGATTGATACTCGAACTTGAAAGGTGAGTAGGACCTCAGGCGGCCCTGAAGTCCAAGAGCGTCCCCGGGGGAAAAGGGACGGTAAGAGTGAACGTGACGTGAGAAGCCGCAGCTGAGCCCTGGACGGCCGAGGCCGGGGTGAGGCTAGGAGTCCTCCTCTGCCCTCCAGCCCTGAGCCTGGCTTTGTGGCTTCGTGCCTCTCGTGGGACCTGCAGCAAAATAGCCTAAGTCTGTCTGCCCTGAGTATCCAGAGACTTGGGTAGGGGGGAGGATGGCCTCAAGAATGAGCTGCTGGAATGAGGGGAATGGAGGTGAGAGCTTCCGCTTCTTCGGCCAAGGGAGCGCCCGGGTGTGTTGGCAGGAACTCGCTTTGAAATCCCTCAGGGTCTCCACCATAGCCTTGAGGTGCCGAGGCTTCAGAAGTGGAGGAATCGAAATAGGCTACAGGTTGTCTCTCCC